CCTCACCACCCTCACCATCATACCTCCTCCCGCTCCTCCTCTCCCCCAAAGCCATCCACACCCTCAAACACAAGCTCAACCTCCTCCTCCGCCACCACCACCCCAAACCCACCACCATCCACTCCCTCTACATCTACCCCATAAAATCCTGCCGGGGGATCCGCCTTCCCCACACTACCCTGCACAAGCACGGCCTCTCCCTCGACCGCCGCTGGATGTTTATCGACGCCAAAACCAACCAATTCCTCACCATCCGACAAGACTCGCGCATGACGCTTATCACAACAGCCCTCTCCCCAGACTCCTCCCACCTCATCATCACCATCCCCTCTTTCTCCAAAGACAAGGAGATCTCCCTCCCTACGGACCCCACCCCCGCCTGGCTCGCGCAACACACTACCCTCGAACACGTCACTATCTGGGACACAGTAACAGATGCGTATGCATATGGCCCGGACGTCAATGCCCTGTTCAGTGAATTCCTCGGTCGAGAAGTGAAGTTAGTGTTTAAGGGCCCGGAGCGCCGCATTCTGCGTGGGAACGGCGCCCCGGAGATCCTGGGTAGAGAGCAGGATACGTATTTCCCGGATGTGCATCCTGTGTTGATTGCCTCGGTGGCGTCGATTGAGGAGTTGAATGGGCGGTTGGTGCAGGGTGGGAATGATCCCATTACGATTGAGAGGTTCAGGCCGAATATTGTGGTTACCGGAGATGTGCCGTGGGAGGAGGATTCGTGGAAGGTGGTGAGGATTGTAGGTAATAAGGATGGGAAGAAAGGAGGGGGTACTGTGGAATTGGATGTCGTGGCTAGGTGCGCTAGGTGTCAGGTTCCGAATGTTGATCCTGATACGGCGGAGAAGCATGGTCGGCAACCGTGGGACACGCTTATGAAGTATAGGCGTGTGGATGAGGGGATCAAGTTCAAGCCTTGTTTCGGGATGTTGAGTGCGCCCAGGCACGAGGGGAGGGTGGAGGTCGGGATGGGGTTTGAGGTTGTGGAGGTTACGGATGGACATCGGTATATCAAGGGTTTCTAAAGAGAACTACGTGTACTGGGTTGATGGTGGTAATTGTGATGTGATGTCTATAACTTAATAGTAGTAGAGAGATCATGTATATATTACATTGCTATTGGGACTGGTCCCAATCAATCTAACTAGCCATCTATACAGAAAGTCCTCCGTAGCAGCAGCAGCAGCTAATTCTTCATCTGCTTACTACTCGACACACACCAGTTATTCCAATCCGTAAAGAACGACGGCTGCACATGACACTTCTTGCTGATCAACTGCGCCTTTCTCGTCTCACCATAAACATCCACCACTCCAGCAATCGTCTCCTTATCATGTGCCACCAGGGTCTTCACCACCAAAAGACTAGCCTGACTGCACGCCGACGCATGCGCCGGCGGTCCACTATGCGTCGCCTCCGTATGAATCGACTTCAACAGCTCCCAGACCGGCTCGATCTCGTCCAGCTTCGGCAGCGCCGCACCCTTGCAATGCTTAGTGTATTCGCGGAGCACGTTGGCAGCCTTATTAGAGATCTGCTTGACGGTGGAGCGGCGGGTAAGGCGCAACAACGGCAAGAGGAGATCGAGCGCCAAGATCTTCGAGTGGCATTTCTTGACGTAGATTTCGAGCAGGTCGAGAACGCGGTTCTTGAAGTTGATCATGTTTTCTTTGGCGTCCTTTTTGTCTTTCTTTTGGCCGAGGGCGTCGCGCCGGGCTTTGAAGACCTTCACGAGTTGTGTGTCGATTTCTTCCATCTCGTCGTCATTCATGTCGGCGTCGGAGCCTTCCGAGTCTTCGTTTAGGTCTTTGTCGGCGCGGTGGGTGCCGAGCGCTTCGGCCAGTTTGGCTTCGAAGATCGCTTCTTCTAAGTCGTTGCCGGTAGATTCGTCATCGTCTTCTTCTTCGTCTTCATCGTCGTCGTCATCGCTGGCGTTGTTGTCGTCACCGTCGATGACTTCAACGTCGCTGTCGTCTTCTCCGTCGATGTCCATCATGTCCTCATCGCCTTCGTCGTCTTGCTGGTCGAACATTTCTTGCTGGCCGGCAAGACTTTCTTTCGCTTCTAGGATCTGGGAGGGGGTGTTAGCGGGGATCATGTAGAGGGGAGTGTCTGGACATACCGAGGTCAACGACTCCAGGCCGTTCTCTGTGATGCTGTCCGCGAAAGCACCGAAGACTTGCTCACTCATGCGGCGGAAAAGCTGGGATTGCTTGGATGCGAAACTCAGCAGGATTTCCACCAGAGCGTCCGAGGCGTCCGAGGTTTCCTCCTTCTTGGACTTCTTGTCGCCGAAGATCTTGGTGTAGCAGAAGTCGAGTTCCTCCAGCATGGAGGCGGCATCGGCGTCGCCGTTGTACACTTGGAGAATGGTCAAAGAGTACAAGAGCTTGAAGGCATCAATGCTGGCCTTGTCACCCTTCTCCTATTCTGAGTTAGTAATGAATGATGGTTAGGCCGACGATAAACTTACCAGGTTGGCAAGCTTCTTCAGCGACTTGAAGGCGTTCTTCACTGCGTCCTGGATAGTGTCATCCATGTTGATGATGAACTTTCCGTGCTCCTCAGACTTGACTGCGTCGCGGATGTGGCGAACAACAACATACGGAACGCCCGCGTACTTTTGCGTAGCGATGAGACTGTTGATACACGAGTTGATGCGACTCCGGAAGAGCTCCTGTGTCTGCTCCGTCACAGGGGGGCTGACGGACTGGTCCCGACCTTCTTCCGAGGGCTTGAAGTAGGCGAACCGAACAAAAGCAAAGAGGATCTTCTCAAGGATCTTCTGCATACCATCCTCGTCGTCACTGGCCGAAGCACGGGCACGGACAATGGACAGGAGAAGACCGGCCAAGAACTGACGGCTCGACGCAGCAGCCTTGCTGTCAGTCGTTCCGGGAGACGCAATGAGGGATTCGAAGAGCGGAACGATCTGCTTCAGAGCGTCCAAGTTGGCTTCAGCGACAATCTTCTCCACGGTCTTCGTCTTGGTGGCCTGGTCAAAGTTCACAGACCCGGTTGAGCCCATGAGACCACGGACAGAAGCGGCGGCGAACTCGGGCTCCTTGGACACGCGGGCCTGCACAGCCTTTGCGACCTTCACGGCCATGCGGTGCAAATATCTGTCCTCGACAGCAAGCTGATTCATCAGACATCTGACGAGGTTCTTCGTGAACACCAAGGAAGCCAGGTTCAGGGGAGAATCGTTGATAACCTTGTTGAACAGGAGGAAGCCCCAGTATTTACGTTCCTCTGAGGAAGATGAGGCGAAGAGACCGTCTGGACAACTTTGTTAGATAGGTAACACCGCAAATGAGGTAAAAACTCACTGTCGACAACTTCAGTCCAAAAGTCAGCGAAGCTGATACGAGATGAAGAACCCTTCGACTTGCTCTCCTTTGTCGGGGCATCGGCAAGTCTGCCAATAACAGTATCCCAGGCAAAGTGAAGCTTCGAGTTCCAGACTCCAGACGACTTCGCCTTGTTTCCGCCTTCACTTTCGGAATCGGCAGAGGAAGACTCCTTCATGACCTTGGCCAGCTGATTTCTCTCCTTTGCGTCCAAAGGATCATCGTGCTTCCAGACCTTGCTGGGGAACTTCGCGTTCGGGAACAGGTCCTTGGCAGCGAGCCAGATGGCCACTCCCTCTGGGGTGCGTGCAAGGTCGTTCGAGCACAGACGCTCAAGAGCAGATTCCAGGAACTTAACGTCGGCCTTCTGGGCCGCAAGTTCGTAAACGCAGCGATAGATGATCCAGCCGCATTCCTCCCGAATCCAGGGCTTCTTCTTGGCCAGTTCAAACACCAGGTCCAGGAGCTTAGTCCACTCGTTGAATGGAGCGTTGGGCTTGAACAAGATGGAGGACTTGATAATGGCCTCAGCACCGAACAGACGACCGAAATGGTGGTCTCTTTGCTCCTGTAGGGCAGAGTAAGCATTGCTTTGTAGAATAACATGTGACCTAGTTAAGGATGTATTTACCTGACCAGACTCACTACCAGAAGCACTAGACTGCGACTCCCAGATGTTCATGACAGTTGAAACATTTAGCTCCGACGAGTCGCGGGGAGCTCCAAAGACCTGAGAAAGAATCTCAGTCAATGCGATAGAGAAGCCAATTCTGGCGGCTTTGCGACTACTGCAGAGACCACGGAAGAGTCTCTGCAAAGTCTTTTTGATCTGCTCATCGGCAGGGTTCTTGTCAGAAGTGAACTGAGATACCAGGGCTTGGGCAGCCTTCAATCTGATCTCGTCCTTCTCATTAGCGAGGTCTTCATAGATCTCGACCATTTTGGTGTCGACGTTGACCGGCTCACGGCGCCGCTTCCTGGACGCGGCATTGTTCTGCGCCATTGCGGGGAATGGAAAGACAAAACTTCCTCGCCACAAGATTAGATATATTGGAGTAATCCACAAAGGATGAATAAATCACAAAAGGGTCGCTGGACAGACCCACGACGACTGGGATGCAGGAGTTGCTTGCGATTCCGCTTCCGAAAATTTATGAGGCGATTGGCTTAATCGGGTTAGCGCGCCCCGGACGGCTTGGCTCTTTACATAACAATCCACCTGATTTATACTCCACAGCATGTCTGTCACTATACACTTCTAGAAATTATTTTCTTTAGCGTTGATTTGAGGTCAAAGTAGAGTCGAAGTTTCAGTCTATTTCATGTGTGGAAGTATTTCAAAATCAACTGGAGTATATATGAAAACACATTTTGTGTGCTGTTGAATCGCTGTTGCTTATCTTATCGCGCTGCATATAAAGCCTCGAACAACAGCATATGGACTACTAGTACCTAGACTGGCGAGTACCATTTTCTACGTGATAGGGACTATCATTATAGCAGAAACATATGACATCTCTTAGAGATCCCGTATAATATATGTGCTTAGATCATGCCAAGTGAACACAATCAATAGGTATGGTTTATCCTCTCAGCAACAATGTGATCGCCAACAAGGTCCTTGGACTTACTAGGATGAAAGCTCTAATGTCTCGAACGGATTATCAGCTATTATGTTATGTAGTTGTAACACACATAAGGGAAGACTGAGGATATTGCCACACAATTGACGGTAATTCTCCGATAAGGAACTGAAGGGTCCATTGTGCCGCCATTGTTCATACCATGACACTCTAGGTTGGGGAATCCCCTTGATAAAGAAGGCTTTCTGGCTTAGAGGAGAGAGAAATGACTTCGTTGATGCGATCAATGCTTACGGGGTTACTTGACTGGTCTAAGATCCTCCTTCTTTGTCTTCCACCTCTGGTCTTGTAATCTTCAAGCTCTGCTCCAAAGCCGGCAATCCCCAGCCCTTCATCCATTCTGACTGCATCAACGGCTCCGCTGTGGCTCTCTCCTCTGGTTCAGATTTTAGCACTGGCCACATAATTTCCTCAAATGCACTCTTTCCTTGTACTGTCATGGTCTCGAAGCCAGCCTCAGCTCGTGGCTCTTGTATGCTATAGTTGAATCTGACATCCCAGGTGTTGCGTATAATCTCATTGTGCATATGTTCTGTGTCGGGAAGTGTATCTATCGCTTTCGGAAACTCAACTAGAATATTTTCTAGATGAATATCTTGAGAAAATGGTTAGCCGCACCACACAGCTAGGAGTGTGTAATAACTACATACCGCCGTGGACAATATTCTTACTATGAAGAAATGCAACCCCACAGATGAATTGAGCAATTATCAACTGCGCTACCTTGGGCTGGAAAAGACCAATCTCTGAAGACTCCTTCGCATCGAACAAGCTCATTCGTGCCGGCGGCGCGACCAGACATCTATGCCTTCCATCGGGGCCAGCCACCCAAAAATCGTCAAGGAGAGGCCGGACAATATCTCCTCCAGGTCTTTCCGATGACGCTCTTGGGTAGCGAAGCAGACCAGGTTCCTCTCTGTCACCACCGGCGAAGGCAATGATGGCCTTCATGGCTACATATCCAGGTTTTCGCATATCACGGGCCAGCCATATAGTGGAGTACCCTCCATGCCCCAGCTTATGAACCAGTCGATAGCGGCCTTCATTCAATTCATCTCCGACCTGGAGCGAATGATAATTTCTGAGACAATACAAGCTTAGATCCTCCGCATCCTCACTAAGCTGATATGAACTTTCTCAAGCTCTAGGTTGGGATTACAGTTAGGTGCTTTTCCACCTTCTCTTATCTCTTTCGGGTTTGAGGTTGATGACGCCCGTCGGACATTTGGCTTGTCAATGAAGACACTAGATGGGTTCTACCAATGTGCCCCTAGTCCAAAATAAGGAGGCGCAGCTGTCCGTAGTAGCATATTGCTAACAAGCGATTGGCGCGCGTGAATGCACGATGAAGGTTCGATGTCATTAAGTTCCAACTCAGTCATAGACAGCTTTGGAACTAAATGTTTTCTGCCTGAGCTGTCAACGTATTCTATCAAGTATTTCCTCTTCTTGATGTAATTACGAGTCCAGATCTTTGCCATTCAGACTTCATCAGTGTGGAGGAAGTTGATGCTTAGAATATTGCATTGCTGTTACCCTTTGTTGCGCCTTGTGTCGATGCTAAGTGTGGTCTGGTCCTGCATAATTGATGAAACCCTAAAAAGCATATGGCCGTTTCCTACGAGTTCAGGAGATGAGCATCTGCTTCATGAACTAGAACCTTGTTATAACTAGTTTTGGGGTTGGATTTTCCCGTCTTGTATCCATGGTATCAGTCCTGTCCAAAGAAATCAGATGAAAGATTGGATCTATTTCTGGGCCCAGTGCCACTACAGCCCGACTCAGATAATGTTGGAATATGCGGAAACCATGGAAATGGCCGATAATTACAGGACAATAGGCTTTCCATATTATATATGAAGTTGCCAACCTGTGGTTCTCAGTCGTCGCCGCCCTTTGATGCCTTTCAAGATGGATTTTCTGATGATGACTTATGTTTCCCTCGGAACAATGAAAGAGTTGTCATTGAAAATAGTCCTTTCATGGTTTTTGCCGTTGTAGTAAAAGATACTTGACTAGCATGACTGGGGTCCAAGCTATGTCACAGGACATATATAGGCTTACAGGATCTGTCCACTTCAACCTCCCCATCTTGACAGCCCCCCTTCTTGACGGGCTATATACGCATACTCCTTCTCGCCAACCTGCCAACGAACTTGCGCATATCCCCAATGGATTTTCCCACTAGTCTCGACTTTTTCCCTGCAGAGCTTGTCATCTGGATAGGTGAATTCTTGGACCGGAAGACATTGGCCGCCTTTATCCGTACATCGAAGCGATATGCCCAGCTCTTGACACCCCAGCTTTTAACTCTGTGGCTCTCGTGCAAAACTGGCAAGTATTGCTTCAGGCGTAATTGGCCTGAAACACAGAATTGGAAGTCATCTCATATAGTCGATTTTTTCCAGAACTTCCCGTCTGATGTATCTCAGATCTACTGTTGCTCTACATTGCTGTTTCGGTTTGCCGATGGAGGTAACCTAGAGCTCGTGAAGCTCATGTTATCTAGGGGCGCAGATCTCGAGGCAAAAGGCGCGAATGGGGAGACTCCTCTGCATATTGCTACCAGTGGAGGACATATTCAGGTCGTGCAGGCATTGCTGGAAGCCGGGGCAGATGCCAGTGCCAAAGACAGGTATGGAGATACACTACTGCAGAGAGCGGCATCCATGGGGAAGCCGGCCATGATCCGATACCTGATTAGCTCAGGACAATACACGCTGGAAGCCCTACTGGAAGCGTTTGAACGGGGTATGAAGTGCTTCTTCCCAAAAGTCTGTGCAGAAGTCTGTGCAGAAGTCTGGCCCGCTCTCGAAAATGCCGGCTATAAGTTCAACGCGACTGGCACTGACGGTCAAATATACCTTCACTTCGCCGCTAAGAGAGGACTTAGCTTTCTTGTGCAGTTCTTTCTTGATAGGGGCCATGACCCCTTTCGCTTGGATGAAAAGGGAAATACAGCCTTGAGCATCGCCTGCTCAGAAGTTTTTTCTCGCTCGGAGGATATGTTAGAAACTCCGAAGCTACTCATTAACGCAATGCAAGCCGCTGGCGGTGACCCTTTCAAAGCAAACCGAGAGGGTGTTACTCCACTGCACAAAGCCATTCAGAAATCGCAGGTTGATCTAGTCAGATTATTTCTCGATTCCGGAGCAAGTGTGACTGCTCGGGGTAAGAATGGGATTAAATGCATGGAAAGAGCACTACGAGGTCCTAGAGATATGTTTGAGCTGCTCGTTGACCGTGAACCCGCCTTATGGCCCACCCACATGCTACAATCAAGCCTTCATGGTTATACAGTCGAGTTGAAAAAAGGACAAGGTTACCAGGATACTCCGAAGGCTATAGCAAGGATCCTGAAACTCGCCAAATCTGGCAAGGCAGCAATCAATGTCTCCACCAGGGACAGCTCGGGATCTACTCCGCTTCATAATACATGTCTGGCTAGGCACAACTCTGCTGAGGTTCCTGGGCTCATTCGCTCTTTCATCGAAGCAGGGGCAGATATAGACATGCCAGATGACGAAGGCCGAACACCTCTCCACAATATACTCAGGGTATCTACTCCAAAATCTGAGCGGGAGATCATACAGACGATGATAAATCTCAGCAAGAATATCAACAAGCTGAGCAAAGCCGGTGATAGTTATTTGCATTTAGCAGCTGACGCCAACCAGCTACGTGCTGTACAGCTGCTGTTGAGCAAAATGAGCAAGGACACTGTGTTCGCGGCCAATGAGTCCGGCTACACCAGTCTGCATTATGCCGCAATATCCGAAAATACCTCGATAATTCAGCAGATCCTAGCCACCGGTATCGATGTAAACGCCAAGGACCGGCATGGACGGACGGCTTTACACTACATGGACAACAAGCACAATGAGTCATGTGTTGCGGTACTGATCGAAGCCGGGGCAGATGTGAATATATTGGACAATGAAGGGAGACCACCAATCCATCATGCGTCGATATGGGGGAAAGACGGGATGATGGAGCTTTATGTGAAAGGGGGAGCTTCTGAGCACGAAGGCTGCGATTCTTGCAACAGAAACATCAAATCAACCAGGGAGTGGCTAAAGGAAGTTGGCTGTTTAATTTGATTGATGCTTCCTTGCGAGGTGACTCTATTTCCTCCCTGTTCTTTTCCTTGTTTCATGATGTGGTATACTGGACAGAACAATTGATGTTTTGGCGCCATCGTCAAGAAATAGAAGACTTTGGTTGTCGGGTTTCCTAAGTTTTTGATATTGCGATTTGCCTGGGGAACGATATGAGCAACTTTATATTTATATATTCAGGGTTCTGTTCATGCCTTGACTTATGGGCCGTACAGGAGACTGTATATAATCTTGCACAGTACTAGTAAGATATATATAGTGACAAAATTGAGCACAGCTAGATGATAGTACTCACGATATATAATACTATTATTAGTAGTACTACCTATACCAGTTGGAATATCATAAGAAAAGTCACTATTCCATTTCATCATCTACTGCTTGCTTTGTGGACAGCACCAAACCAGGGAAGCAACACAAGACAAAGCCGTAAAACTACTCCTTTCATACTATAGCAGTAGTATGCGTAGGGCAACACCATTTACTACTACTACTACTCTCTATCCAAACACCTTTCTATCATTAGCAAATTAAACTTACTAGTACTATAGGTCAGAAATATATAACGTCATACCAAGAGTATACAAATAGCAGAACCCTGATAATTCAGCTGAACACCCACTACTACTGCTGCTACAACAGAAGATATATAACCAGACCAGCAGCAGTTGCTACGTCTTGAGCTGTCTGTTTCCTCTACTTCACGGCATGCCACCCCGACTAAAACCATCCTCAGCAGTGCGAAAGAAAGCCCGTTGATGTCTACTAGTACTATAGTTCAAAACAACCTTTCACGCATCCTCCGACTTGCCACTACCAACATTCACATCACGTACTACTATGTCCTATGTACTAGACAGTCACTCTGTTTCTAACCCCCAGCATCCAATGTTGCACGCTAACAAGTAGACCGAAACGATATATCGCGTCTATCTGGACAGCAGATGAAGGGATGGGATATGTTCCAACTATCAACAATTAAATACCATATATCCCCAACACCAACCCCAATCACCCATCTACATTACTGCCTACTCCCCCCAACACACACAACAATCATCCGTAGTACTACTATACACCCCATATCCAATACCCAAGTCCTATCCCCCACAAACCCAAACCTGCCACGTAGTCCTATACCAGTCTACCCAAAGATCCACCATTCCTTTTCCTTCCCTGCTACGTACGGATCATCATACATGGGAAGGAGAGAGGGATAAGAAATCCCTGCATTCTCGATGGACGACTGGGGCCGGCAGTTATATTTGCCAATAGTATAGCAAGGAATTATTATCCTCTTACTAGTCCTCTTATCGTAGAAAGATAATGATTGGTGCTATCTATGCTACTTTGGAAGTATTCAATATTGGATATAGATTATCTATCCCTTACTGGGGTTGAATGAGGTATGCAGTTATTGATGGTGGTATACAACTCGTGATATTAAGGTCTTACTTGACTTTGGTTTATTACTGGTAGCTACTATGAACTAATATGAAGCGATTGGATGTTATCGGTATCTTTATGGGTTAAGGATCGTTAATGGACTGTGGAGTTTTCTCTACGATCCAATGGACTAAGTAAGTAACGTAGCACAAGGTGCTCAGCAGAGTAAGTAATCAGAGATATAGGGATAGACACCAACCTACCTACCGACTAAGTATAAACCGTTAGGATTCCTAGCAAGTCAACAGGAGCAGCGGCATGCTCTACCATAACCTACAAGCAAGTGACAACTTACAGCCCGCGTTAGCCCACATACTGACACCTATCTGTATCCACCGGTCAAGTCCAACGGTTACTAGCAGAATTAGTTCATAACTCGGTAGTTGTAGTAGTAGTAGTAGCGAAAGTGATTACCCACCGTTGGTATTCTTCAGCAAATAGCAAAAGTGGAGCCGAGCAGTAGAAGCAGGATTGTAAGGCATGCATGTGCGGGCTACGCAACGGTTCATAATAGATTCTTCTACACTGTAATGAATAATCGATAACAGCAACGTAGGCTACCGTGGAATGATCTGCCCTAACGGGTGACTTTCTACCTAGATAGGTATAGGCTACATTCCTGGGAGGGGATTACTATCGGCATAGTTAACCTGATTAAATGAATATTCCACGAGGAAAAGTAAGTGCTAGCCTTGTTGGAGATTGTCAAGATAACTGTCGAAATAATCTAGTATCTATCCAGTAGATTATATCTATTGTAGTAACTAAGTATCATGATTGTAAGGTTCGAGATGATACAAGGAATGCGCGCGTATTGTATAGATACTAAATAACTTGATACCAAGATTATACCATGAGGAGCAACTTTAATGACGCCTTTCCCGAATAAGAATTCCTGAAGCCTGGAATTGCCTTGAGAGAAACATTCTACGACCAATCGCTAACTTAGAGCTTAATTAGAAACATGGCGAAAGACTGCCACTTCACTTCATAGCTAGTAAACTCTTCTGAACTGTAGCAGGGTATGCCATGGCATAAACTACTAGCTAAAAATAAGGGCAGGACCAATTCCTCCTAGAAACACTAAACTCAATCCCAGAGGGAGAAGCTTATCCTAAACCCTACCTATATACATGCGGGGTGGAAGACATATAGCTACATACCCATGCAAGGGCGGCGCATGGGTGCATGTATGTTTAATTGGTACCTGGCGTACCTGCAGGAAATATCTTCGAAGAACGGGGAATTTCGTGCAGATAATTGGAACTAAACTAGGAAGGGAAAACTCTAAGATAAAAGTTGTAATAGTTATGGTATGGTAGGGCTGGGAAGGGGATAGAGAACTATCCTGGGATGGGTGGCTGGGGTCAGGAATGGCGATCAAGGATGTGCCGAAACGGTGAAGGTAATATGCTAGATAGACTTGCATGGTTATCGTGCGGATTATTGACCCGATATCTGTCTTTATTCTCCTAGATAACCTTTCCTCCCCCCTGTGTTGTGCGGTGTAGATAGTATTGGAGGATTCATCGCTAGGAGTGGGTTATTGATTGATAACTAACTAATAGAGAGTTAGCGATGTCGCCTTTGGCAAGGGTGCTCCTAAAGAAGGGGCAAGTATATGCATATGCGATCGATTATTATCTTTGATATTACTGGGGTCGTGATGTTCACCCCAGATACCTAGATGGCCATGCTTGCATGGTGAATCTCAAGAGAGATCTAAGATAAGGGACATCTAATTAGCGAGAAGACGATATCTTGCGCCTACATTATGCAGTCTTCGGTTACAACCCCAGAAAATGCACTTGGTATAAGCGCGAGTTAACTGTGGCTAATGTGCTCCTGTTTGGAATAAGCTTTTCTAGGCTCATGTCCATGGATAGAAAATAAGATCGTAATTTGCACATCTATCTATGCCTTCAACTACTCGGTGAATTCGGATCTAGGTGGCAACAACAGGCCAGTTTGTTTACTGAGTAAACGAGAACACATGGCCAGAGGACGAAGATCTGGGTCACTTAGAAACGGGTAGGCGATAGTTCTGCAGATCGCTTCCCCGATCGTATCTAGACTCACTAGTTACGGGATCCCAGCACCATTGCAGGTGGGATGGACCAAATGAGGCATCAAAGAGGTGAAAGGAGAATCTCGCCTTGGGCACAAATTTGGGACTGACCCGAATGAGTTGATTGTTGTTGACCGAAATCGGGCGCCATGGAGAAGGGTTGGGAAGGGGGCAGCAAGGAAGGCCGAGAGCAAAGGGACAAACAAGCAAGGCGAGCAACGATGGACCAAGAAAGGGAGAAATCTCGGTGATGTCATGGAGTTACGGGGGGGTTTTGGTCGCATCGGGGACAAGTCACGGGACCACGCTCTGCCGGTCGCGTCGGTCGGGGGAGGGGAAGACTCCGGGGTTCCACGGTTCACCACGATTGATTGTTATTGTTTACAGATGAGGCCAGAACGGAAGGTGATAAACAATGGATCATCTGCAGGACTCATCACGAACCAGGATTATTCCTCCCTCCGACCGTGTGTGGGTGGGTGTGCCAGCGCATACATACGCACATACAGTTACAGTGGTGACATGCAGATACCGGAGGGTGCGGGAAGGGAAGGAAGAGAGAAGGTTTCATGCAAGACTTCCCCTCCATGTGACATCACGACTGGCTCCCTCCAATCGACGCGATCCCAGGCAGGCAGATCTGGGAAAGCAAGTTGGGAGCACTCCAGTCCGCACGGAGGGGGACAAGAGGGGAGAGGGGAAGGAGATAGCATCATCCTCCCCCCCCCATTCACCGTATCTAAATAAAGTTGCAGACAGCCTTTCTGGAGCACGAGCACTTAGAGCTGCAGGATTAGCCCAATCAGGGGCCCCATCACCACTTGAGACCCCGCAGCAGCGCTTCCTGCTGGCCCGCCAAGGCTGTTGTTGATACTCGACCATTTTGACGCGGACCACTAGCAGCTATTGTTGACACTTGCAAGAGCGCCCGACGCTGATGCCCGGTCCGCGGACGTGTCTGGGCTGCCTGGCCGACAGATAACAGCGCATGTCATGGCCGCTCAGGTGACGGAGAAGCCCGTCAACAACATCCCCGACTCCACCGAAAGATCCGAGGTAAGAAGACCACTAGCCGGTTTAGCACGGCTCGCTTTTCACGCGGGCGACGGTCCAGATCAGTTCCCGGCGCCTATAATCAAACAAATAGACACTCAGTAGATCCTTCAGCCGCACAGGAACTCCTTTCCCCTCCTCCCTCTTCCGAGTCAATCAATCATCTAATTTAATACCCTTAAAGTGGTGTCGCCTTGAACTTAGTCTGTACAATCAATGCCTACCCACCCGCCCTCAATAAAGGCGGAACCGACTGTCACTCTAGCGATATTGATTCAGATAGTTCTTGGGGCTAGCGCCCTTCCTGGCGCGTAGACACCGCAGATGAGCCGCATTTTCCGGCTATCTTCGCTCAAGGGGGATGACTGTGTCGCTCAATCGGGACCCTCATGAGCTCTAGCGCTAATACGTTCGGAGCGAGGGAAGGGATCATCATTGGGACCGTCCGGTGTCTCAAAGGTGAGGGGCCTGTGGCCTGGGACAACGAGAAAATGGCCATTGTGAGTGGCCGATGATGCGATCGCTGCTCGCAGGAGCTTACCGATCTCGCTATCCGTGGCGGTGTAATAGTAACAGCGAGCAAGGCCCCCCTCTCTTATTCGATCGAGCTATTTTCATGGCCCACGAGGCAGCACTAGCTTCGAGGCAATATCATGGAGATCGAGGAGACTGAACCCGAATGGTGGAGAGCTATGCTCTCCATAACTGGCTCGGGGATTGCATGACTCCAGAATGCCGTTTGGCCCCTCGTTGTGGCGGAGAAGGAGTGTATCAGCCAAAGTGACGTCGTCAGCCTCTCGGATGCGACAGGAAATCCTGCTTCAGCTGGAGTGTACACTGATCCCCACACTCGGGAAGGCCTAGAGCCGTAAGCTAGACGGCCTCAGCCTCACGGCGTAGACTGGAGCTCTCTGCTCGAGCAATTGCTCCTTGTTGGAAAGCCATTGTCGAGGGCAGCGATAAGATCAGACACGGCTGTTATCAAAGCACCTTCCTTGGAAGGTTGTTCAAAAGAAAGGGAGGATATCCCTGGGCCAAGCTTGGTCTGCAGGAATGTGGGCAGAGTGAGGGCCAACGTAAGGGAATGATGTGAGTGTGAAGAACGGGCCGCAATGAAGACTGTGCGCAAGAGGGGTTGCGAAAATTCCAGTCTGTAGGGACCATCATCAGACCTTTTTGCTGCCCACCGTGAAGCCCGATTACTGTGTGTATGTGCCGTGTGTGTCCGAAGCAGTCAAGCTGACCAGAAAAGGAAATACTTGAATGCTCCTTCTCTTATGATCATCCGCCATAGAAGAGAGATGCTGGAGTTGCACAAAATCTAGGTGGATCTGATAGTGGCATACTTCCTCTATGCTGGTCAGGGCGGAGGCCGAAGAAGAAATATTCTTCTGCAGAAATTGGCTTGACTACTGGATGGGAAGTTAAGCGCGTGGCATGCTCGGATCTTGAGGCCTCCAATTGTCCAGTTGCTCTGGCATTACTCAATCCGGCTAAGCCGGCCATTCTTCCGATCGGAGACGAGGTGTGCCTGGGAAGGCAACGATGATCTAATCAGTCGGTATGTGGGTTTGGTCTGTGATACATGACTTGGAGCAAGAGCATGGCGGGAATGGTTCGATTCTGGTAAGTCTTGATGTAGAGCAATACCTCATTGCATGGTCAGTCGACTAGCAGTAGATACCTGGTAGTTACCAGGTGATTGAAGCTTTACGTATGTATGACAGCTCTACTGCTAGTCAAGGTTTGAAATTATACCATGGAAACCCCGTTCCTGAGAATGATACCGGACAAGCTCTTTTTTCCGACTCAGTGGAGCCCAAGTGGAGATTCTATTAGACTCGATCTCTCTTTTTGGTTCTCGGGAATGATGTATAGAGTCGAACGCAGAAAAAATCGAACGGCACACACGGGAAGATATTATTGATCGGATTTCAGATTTTTCTCCCGCCCACTTGCGGCTTTGACTGGTCGATCGGCCGAAAAAAAAATCCAGGGCACTGAAGATAGTTGAAAAGATACCCGGAGTGATTGCATACCTACCATACCTACCACGACCTAGGACTTACCCAAGTGGGCGTTAGTTCGTCCATCTATTTCCGTCAGAGGCATTGAGCTGGACCTAGATTAATTGATTGACCTAACCAGCGAGTCTAAGCCAGGATTGTAATTGGAGGAATGAACCATCGAGTAATAGTCAGCCTTGGTCGGGAAGAGAACTTGCAATGGCGCTTAGCAGAGGATTTGTGTCTGACTTGTGTCCCGGTGATACCACGCTGGACTATGCAGAGCGAGAAATGAAAGAGGAAAAAAAAAAAAAAAAAAAAAAGGGAAAAAGCAAATTTGGAACCAACGGTTTCTACAGCAATATTCGGCGAGTTTGTTACATAGGTGAAACCTGTCAAAAAACGAAATACAAAGAGGGGGACCCATAATTTGCCTCCGCAGTTGAGTTAGTAATGGAAAGAAAAGAAGGCCGAAAGAATAGTATCCTTTCTCCTCTCTTGCAGTTGTTCCGTGAGACAGGCACGATCCATCATGGGCCTTTTAGGCCATTTTTTTTTCAGCCAGCCCGCCGAGAGTGGTAGAGGGCGACTAAGGTGATAGTGAGCGGGTGACGCAGTAAGGACGCTGATAGGCGGGGGGTTGCTGAGCAGCGGCTAGCGCTGGTGCTGGCGGCAAGGGAGTCCCGGCAACGAGGGGCGCCCAGAGCCCTAGCCTGGCTGGACTAGTCCCAGTCCGGGTACCTACTTACTCTGGAGATGACTCTGGAAGGTCACTCGACAGTCTAGTATACGGAGTACTAAGTACTCAGTACATACATACATACATACCCATACCCATACCCATACTACATATACATACAACGTACATAACTGTATGGTACAGATACCCTTTTTCCCCCCGAACAAGGAAATAAATCTTCCCTGGTATGCGTATCTCATGTATGTAAGTTGGAAGGTACCTACAGCTGTCACTTCAATATTCAATATGCGCCCGGAGAGGAGAAAAATGGGAAATAAATTGAAGAGAAAGAGGAATCTACTCACTCACCAAGGAAAGTAAGTAGTCCCCGATTTGGATACTAGGGCGGCTGTTCGGGAGTAGTTAGTAGCAGCAGCAGCAGCAGCAGCAGCAGCAGCAGCAGCAGCAAGTAGTAGTAATGAGTCGCTTCTATTATCCGAACAAACCAGAATTGAAATCAATCAATCCCTTCTTCAAGAATGAAAGTCAATCTACTCCTCAATAGGAAGTTAGCCAGGCCTTGCAGACAACCAAGCAACCAAGCAAAAGAGCAGGCGGTGTCTTGCTTGGGGTTTTTTTGAAGGGTCAAATCGTTTAATGCGGTCATGGACCAAACCGGTTCGACATTGGTTTTCTGACACAGCCTAACCCATCGTCGCTTAAGCTCTGCGCAGAGCATCTGGAGATCCCTCCCCACTTTTGCGTTGCCATTGCAACAAGGGCATCCCTTCAGCTTCACTTTCTCCAGACCTTTTTTCTTTCTCTTCCTTCTTTCTCTCTCCCTAGCTAGCTCTTAAGCGTCCGCTCTCCACCTCCTTCTTAAGAGCTTCTGTCCCCTGCTCCTCATTCCCATGCTCCGTCCTGTGAGCTTCGCCCAGGCCCAGTCCCGCATCCAGTCCTCTTCTCTTCGGTAACTTTCCCCCGACTGCATTAGCGTACCATATCTATGGCCTATCTGCTACGATCCCGTCCCCCTAATTCTTCGCCGTGAGGGTGTGTGCCTTTGCTGATCTGGTCTGCGGTTCATATTCTAGCCACGCTGCCCGTCCGACGTGCTTCTTGTTCCAACCTATACCGTTCCCGAATTCACCTTGATCATTCCCACTGGAAACCCCAGCTATGTCGCTCTAAACCGACGGCTTCGTCACCGAGTAGTGCGGTTTCGGACTGGTCAGCTAAGACTTATCGAAGCCGTCGTTACATTCTGCGAAGGTTCGGGATCCGAGACAAGTCGGGAAATACTAGAAGGAGTGCAAGGAGCTGGATAGACTACGACGACTACGATTGTACCACATCTGCCGTGTAGTGTATGCCGGATAGATATAGTTGGCACCGTATCTGTCGTCCGTTTCTTCACTACTAGCTATTACTTCGCTTGGTCGTCGACTCTTTTTTTATTGGCGTGAAATACCAGGGAGAGCGGAAGACTATCATTCTCCGGCAAGAATGGAACATTCGTCCCCGTTGGCTGCCATGCAGCCCCCCTCGGTGATGTTCGGGCATTGCTTTCGTGCTGATGCACCGACATCCTATACTTCTTTCAGTCCGATGCGTGGACTGGGCCACAAGAATTTCAACTTCAAAGACTTGTCCATGAAGAAAGGCCATGGGGACTATTTTAACGTGAAACCCGTCCGGGGCTCGTCTCCCACGGCTAGCCTCGCGGCGGATTTGTCTCAAAATTTTCACATTGATCAAAGGTTCGTACTGCCAGTTGGGTTCGGGTCTTTGTTCCGAGTGTGGTCCACCCATGGAGGGATTGACTGACACCCCAAAATTAGTCCGCAGTTGACTACGCCCCGGCGGTCTTTGTTCACTGCGAGTCTGCTCGGGAATAGTACCCGGTGTGGTAAGAGGACCTCCCAATTGAGGCCATAAAAGTGTGGGTTGCTTAACTGTAGAGCAGAGTCTATGAGCACACCTCCACTACCCGCGTCCTCGCCTGCTCCCGCCATGGATATCATGGACATGTCCCCGTTACCGCATAAGCCAGCATTTGGCCTTCTGAGCGAAGCCGAACTCGAGTCTCCCAGCCTGGATTCTACAATGGATACTCCGATGATGTCTGCCGCCCCTAGCCCTCTCGAGGAATCGCCCCTTGTCCAGCAAAAGGATAGCCTGCAAGAGTAAGAGAGAAGCGCTTGGACGTGACCTTTGGGCGATGTGGATCTAATTGCATATGTGTCTGTAGGAGAAGACGTCCGACCTTCTTGCGGCCAAGTTTGGCCAGGAGCAAAGCCCAGACCTTTCAGCTGGGCATGACTAAACCCGCCCCAGAGAGCCAGGCACCACCGTTCAAGTTCCAGAGCAAGGGAGGGAAAACATCGCTGAGCGCATCTGCATCGCTGGAGGATATGTTCAACGAGTCACCACAGCGGGAACGGCCATCATTGAGTCGCCACTCCAGCGGAATCCTTATCAATCCACGACTGAGACCCCAACTTGGAAGCAGTAACAGCCATGTCCGCGGCAATGGCTCGCCCACGGCGGCTTCGATCCGCAAAAATTCCCACCCGATGATGCGCCCTCGGAAACAGTGCCGACGCTCGCTGAGCATGTTTGAGCACCCGGAGGATATTGTTGTCGAAAGAGAGGCTAACTATACTACAAATGCACCACTTCCGTCGGTCCCCGACATTGAAGGAACCCCGAGCCTGCAGCTCCCTCACACCTTTTCTGAGGACCAGGCCGATACACTGCCTCGCATCGATAAGAGTATTCTCGTGGAGCTCCTGGATGGCAAGTACAATGATCGTTTTGATAACATCATGGTCGTCGACTGCCGCTTCGAGTATGAGTACGAGGGCGGACACATCAGCGGAGCCGTGAACTACAACGACAAGGACTTTTTGGCCGCCGAACTCTTCGCAAGTCCGAAGCCACGGACAGCATTAGTCTTTCATTGTGAATATTCCGCCCATCGGGCCCCGATCATGGCGAAGTATATCCGCCATAAAGACCGTGCCTACAATGTGGACCATTACCCACAACTCAGCTACCCCGATATGTACATTCTGGAGGGTGGTTACAGCGCATTCTTTGCCGAGCACCGGACATTGTGTTATCCGCAGAATTATGTTGAGATGAGCGCCAAGGAACACGAGTTTGCCTGCGAGCGTGGCCTCGGGAAGGTCAAGCAGCGGTCCAAACTCAACCGAGCCCAGACGTTTGCCTTTGGTCAGCATTCTCCTCAGATGGAGGACAGTCCCACGGGAAGGTGTCGCAACAATCCTGGTGACCGCAATCGGTTTCTCGGCTCCCCATTTGCCGAGAGTCCGGCATCTGGACGATTCTCTGGCCGGCGTATGCTTTCGTACTAAGTTGGAACATTTCCCCAGAACTGCCTGGCACACGCCATGATTTATGGATACCATCATGCGTTGCCAAGTTGCTACTACCTGACGGGCCTTCCTTTGGATTTCTTTTACCTGTCGTTCGACATTCAGATACAGTTTGGCCACTGCGGGTCAATTGGCTCTTGAGTGGGTTTCTGGGTATTGGCGTCAGAGCGTTTTGCATTGGGATAGCACTGGATGGACTTGCTTGAAATGTCTGTCTGCATCCCACACCATTCGTTTGCTTTGGGTTTCTTTCCTATCATTTGGGGTTGGTGCGGTTATTAGACGGCCATTCCGACGATTGGTTCCGACTTACTGGAGTACCTTTTTGCCTTACGATCTGAAGGCAAGTTGTTGCCTCGCGCGACTTGCACCTCACCTTTGACCGAGTTCGACCCCGTTTTCTCCCATCCGACCACTCCCTTCGGATTTTATTTCCTATGTTTTTGACGACCACCTTGATCTTCGACACATCTGTGATCGACTTATGATACCTCGCCAGCTGGCATTTCTTTCTGCGACTAATTTCCTATTTCCTTCTACCGTCGTTTAATCATCCACCCCGAGCTCCTGTATAGTGCTACGGGAGTGCCACGCTACACGCCGTCCACACAGTACATATCGACATACGGCTCAATCAGGAGATAATCTTGACATGCACGCTCGCTATTGGAAGACAAGATCTGGCATGAAGAAGCCAGAGCTTGGCTGCGAAGAGAATGTTCGTGCAGGTGTACATACATAAACCACGAACCT